TTAATATTATTTGAATAAATTATATTTTCTTTTTATATAATCTTAAAGTATAGAATAAAGGTATTGATCCCTAAAATTGTTAGCTAATGCATTATTGATGACAATCATTAAATTGATAAAGCATAAGAATTTCTTGAATAAGTTTCCTCTTGAGATTTACAATTAAAAATAAGACAATTTAAAATTAGGTTAAAATTATAAAATGTTTATATTTTAATTAATAAGAACCTTATAAGGCATTGATATGAAATATAGAGATGATAAATCTCAGTTTATATTTTTAACCTTTGATAAATCTATTTATGCTTCAATTTTGCATAATTAGTATCATATTCAACATATTCTAAAAATGAATTTTTTGATTGATCATACATTCATCTAATTTAAATCAATATTAATTTTTTTTATATTAATTTGATTTGTGGCTTTGTGTATATTAAAATATAATATATTCTGAATCTACACATAAGTTATCTTACTTACAATCCAGCTTTTTTTTTATAAAATTCTATAAGCAGATTGATTGCCAATAATACATTATCTTTTTTATATCAATTAAATTTTTATTTTTCTTTGATAAGAATCCAAAAATGAAATTTTAGTATTATTTTATGAATTTAATAGTTCTAAGAAAAAACATAGCAGAAGCAATTGCTGCTAAATGAAAGGGTACTAATTTTCTTTTAGTTGTACATTGAGTGAACGAATTTTTAAAACAGCTTAAACAAAACTTTAGTCTTTCACTTCAAATCAATTATCAGTAAGACCATATCCAAAATCAAAAATGAATTACAGTTAATCATTACAATCGTAAATACAAATATCATATAAAAGTTTTCAGATTTATAATCATAATATAGTAATTATAAGTATCAAAAAATAGATTTATAAAAATAAATAAGATTTATTATAAGCCAATGTTACAATTAAAAAAAAAAATTAGCAATTAATATTACAAGCAAAAATCATATTATACAGTTTACTTATTCGATAAAATTATCTTATCCAATGGCTGAATTAATCTAAAATTAAAATATATTCCATTCAAACAGTCTTGATATGAATTCTAGCAGCTGTATTTGTAAAAAATATATCCATAATCATAAAATTGCAATATTTTCAGAGGTATAATAATAAAAAAATATTAATTGATGAATACCCCAAAAATTTCCTCATCATAATAATTATAGATACAATAATTGTTATTTAATATTATAAGCAAATTAAATCAAAGCAAAACTGTTTTGCTTTGATTCGTCATGAATATTTTAACTTCGCTTAAATTTTTTTAACAAAACTAATTAGATCTTGATATGTTTTATAAAATAATTTGACCCTTTGACTTAAATTAATATATATTATTAATTTAAAGTATGAAATACAATTTGATAATCAAAAAATATCATTATTTATTGTGATTAATTGATTCCTGAATAGAATTAATATAACAAAAAAGGATTTTTATCATTCCATTTGTCTTGTTTAATATTTTTAGGATACTAAATAAGAATAAGAAATGAAAATTTGAGTAATAATATTACAAAATAAGTACTAAAGATCATAACTTTGATAAAAATTTATGAAGTAATAAAATATTCAATTATTGTAATTATAATTTGCCTTCTGTTCTGACTAAATTAATAAGTTAATGAGTTCTTATCCAAATTAAAAAATAGATTATCATAGCTTTGAGACACAGTGATACAATCTCTAAAGGCTTAGCAACTCTCTAAAACTCTGTATTGATCATCCTCATTTTTATTTTACAAATAGCATGATTTAATAAATAAAAATTGAATTAAGTAATTAATGTTAATAAGGTTGGCCTCAATCATTACTGTCTTATTTATTATTAGCGATAGTTAAATAACCAATGAATAATGCTTGAAAAGATTATCTAGAACTAAATCAATTATTAGAGGAAATTATCAAAATATATTAAATTATAAGAATGGAAATTTAAAATCAGAAAACAATTAGCATTCTTTTACAGAATATTATTATTGATTTTTAGAGATACAATTTATATTATAGGTGGAGCATATGGATACCAATGGTGTCGAATAGGATAATCTATATAAGTAGATTTGATACAAAAATATGAATTAAATACTATAAAAATCTGGTTATGGGATTAAGATAATAGGGTTTATAGAGTAAAAGTGTTTATCAAATTCTAAAATATAGAAACAAAAATTTATGAAAGTAATTTAGCATAAAGTGTAGTTACAATTAGATTT